ATTATAAAACTTATCCTCATGTAAACAGATCTCTCATATAGAAGTTGTTAATACCAAATATTGTGTTTTTCCAGCTCTCCCACAGCTGGACCTTACCCATGGGCTCTGTGGTTATTCCTATTCGAGAGCTGCTCTCTGAACCAGAGCTGGTCCTGGACCAGTGGTTCCATCTGGATGGAGCCTCACCTGAGAGCCAGATTCTTTTGAGAACTGAACTCAAGGTATGTCAGTCTTTGCCTCTCTCAGTTTTTCAGTTCAGCTTTTTTTGTTTGTTTGTTTTTGTTTTTTTGTTATCTTCTAAATCAAGCATAGTTGTAGTTTAAGTGAGTCGGAGCCTCAAGCTCAGCTTCAGTCCCAACTTATCAGTTATCTCAGTGCCAGTCCACAGTTTCTGAGGGCTCAGCTGGCTCCTTTCTACACGTCCAACTGGAAAACCTCATATAGGGCACACTATATGAGCCGCTGTAGTTGCTGAACCCCTGCAAGCTGCTTTGCAACCCACCTTTACTCCAGCTCCTAGTATCCTGCTTTGTGTGACATATCAGTGTCATAGCTGTTGTCACTGTTGCCTGCTCTGTATTCTTGCTTATTATTCTTGCTGTTGCGCCCTCTGCCCATGGCCTTCCATGTTAGCATAGTGCAGCCAAAGGAGGTGGCAGAACAAAGCTATGCTTAATTTAAATCACTTACACTACACACTACAAATATCAATCTTCAGTTTTAACTATGTTGGTTTAGACCGAAATATTTAACATATTTCATATGAATAAGTGAATATCATTAACTTTTGTTTTTGCGATAAGCCCCCTTCTCTCACTTTAATTCTCTCTTTTATTTCCTTTTTTGCTCCTTTTTTGTTCTTTTTCTAATTTGTTTTTGCAATGGGTGTAATGACTATGTAATAAATAACATAGTTAATTTAGAACAATGTCCATTTAACTACAGATGCTGATTCCAAGCAAATGTCCTGTTACCGCTGATAAAACTAAGGTGACTGCGGTGTCAGATCCTTCTCCTGCTAAGCAGAAACAGGAGACAGAAAAAACGCTCAAGTAAGATTATTTATTCAGTAAAGTCTATTTCTGTTTAGCCACCAGATTTCCCTCTTAAACTTGACTGATTTCTAATCGCTGTGTTTTTAGGTCGAGCTCAGTAGACACTCCTCCCGTGGAGACTATTGTCTCTTCGGTGACTTCGCATGAAGATGCCGATGCCAAAAAAGAGGCAGCTGATTCGATTCCAGATGAGACGGAAGAAGAATCACCAAGTCCTGCCATAACACAGCCCCCTCATACTTCCCCAGACATCAGCTTTGCCAGTGAGGTAACATCACAACACACTGATCTACAGAAGCAGATACGAGAAGCAGGGCATGACAAAATCCTGTTTGTTAAAAAGCCGCATGGATGAAAATATCCCTCCCTTTAGGGTCTGCTGAGGATCATCCTGCTGGAGGCCCAGAGTCTTGTTGCCAAAGATAAAGTGATGGGTATGGCAAAAGGCAAGAGTGACCCTTACGCTAAGATCAGTGTCGGTGAAGAAAGTTTTAAGAGCAACGTGATCAAGGAAAACCTCAACCCGGTCTGGAATGAGATGTATGAGGTGTGTATGAGGGGCTGCATAAAATCAGAAGGCCTGTTACCACCTAACATCTGTGACTTTGACTAAACTTGTTTGTGTTCTCTAAGGTGGTTTTGAGGCCTCAGTCAGGACAGGAAATGCAAGTGGAGCTGTATGATAAAGACATGGACAAAGATGACTTCCTGGGCAGGTAGGGGCTAATGTGGAGGTCTACACTTGTTCAGAACTGAGTCAGAGGAGTCAGATCACACAAAGATAACTACCTGAGCATAGCAGTTGGTAAACAAGTGTGTATACTGGCAAAAAAAACCAATGTCAGTCGACCATGAGATAATGTTTATCACAGTACACTAGTAAAAAAAAACACTTTCTAAACAGGAATTGTGCATAATTTGCATAATCTTCTTTGTTGACTAGATTCAAAATCAGCGTGGCAGACATAATCAGCTCCCAGTACTTAGACCAGGTGGGTATTTTAGATATTTTTTTACTAAATGTGTGTACGCCTTGTGCATTTATAAACTGTAATCCAATGTTTGAGCACCTCTGTTTCAGTGGTACACCTTGAATGATGTCAAGTCTGGGCGTGTCCGTCTGATCCTGGAATGGGTTTCAACAGTGTCCCATAATAACACCCTAGACCAAGTTAGTGCATGTTTCTGTACACAAACAAAATGCTCCTTCTCTGATTCGCTGTGCACATCGGTGCTGAGTCACTAATGTATTTTTTATTTGATTCTCTGCTGCAGGTAATGCATTTGCTGTCTCTGCAGTCTTACCAGAACAAGGCCGTTCCCTGTGCAGCACTCCTCTTTGTTTATGTGGATAGAGCGCACTCATTGCCTGTGAGTCCCTTGTAATTTTGCACAGTGAAAATCATTATGATAGTCAGTTTGATTATGAGTTTGTTTACGCACATAAAGTGAAAAATTGCCACTTTTAACACTTTATATTTTATAAGATAGTATTGGATGTCATAATTACGGAGAATAATGTCTGCTGGGATAAACTCTGATCACACTTGAATTGGAGAAGTTAAGAAAATAGATGAAAGGAATTCAAACTATTCATGTAATCTAATCTTTTTTATTTCTGTGTACAGTTCAAAAAAAGTGGAAAGGAGCCCAAGGCTGGAGCTGAGCTGGTGTTTGGTAACACAGTCTACAAAACTAAGGTGTGAAATTAATAATATATGTGACATAATATACCATAACTTCACACCTGATTTTTTTTTTTTAAAAGAGAAATAATTTATTACCATTCTTTATCCATTTTCTGTCTGAAGGTGTGCGATCGCACGAGTGCTCCTCAGTGGAACGAAGGATTCTGCTTCAAGGTACACAATCCCAAAGAGGAGATGCTCATCATAAAGGTAAATGTACTGAATTTGTTACAGTACAATACACAGTACAGTACAATAGCATTTAAAGTCTGCTGCTGCCCTCTTCATTTCAAGTGCTGACTGATATCACAAATGTGTCCTTTCGCTGTGTAGCTCTCCAGTGCGTGGGACCAGCCAATGGGATCTCTGGTAGTTCCTGTGAGACAGCTTCTCTCTGAACCACAGCTGGTCCTGGACCAGTGGATGCCTCTTGATGGAGCGTTACCTGAAAGCGAGATCCTCCTGAGGGCTGAGCTCAAGGTATGAAGATATGTACACTGTACATTAGTGTTACTGTGACTGACATCAAGGAACCCCAACTGAAAATGTGTCATTAACAGATTCTTAACTCGAGGATGGATGAAGTTCCACGGCCGACTGTGACCACTGTAAAGAAAGAGGACACCAGCACCCACACAGAAAAGGCATCCGCAGCAGCTGGCAAGGAGGAAAAAAGTTCAGAGATGCCAACGCACAAGTGAGTCATTTGTGTGTGAAATCTATAATCTCATGTTGAAGCTAATGCTGCTGTACCCGAGACTGTAATCTTATTCAAAAACAGTTAAAACCAAAGTTAGAAGTGCTGCTAAGGAAAATAAGCAGTTCATACACCTTTAAACACAAATAAGCTTAATAAATAGAAGATATTAAGTGAGCTCCCTGTTGGTGAGTGAAGGTATAGGAAACGTGCTCCTTGATGTCATATACCACTTAAATATAAAGACATAGTTGCACTAGGACTGCACAGGACGCATCATTCAGATGGTATTATGTCTGTCAAGCTTTATTCCAGACTTTCATGTTTTTAGAATAATGTTGCTCTTAGGTCTGTTGCAGTATCAAACCAGCCTAAAGAACCTGAAGCAAATCCTGCAACTGCTACAGAGATGGCTCCTCATGTTGAACCAGCACATGACCCATCCCCTGCTGCCGCAGTGAGTCACATCACACAAAAGTCAGTTGTTACTCTGCCCCAGATGTCTGTTTTCGTCTTCATAACGTTAATGTAATTTTGCTCAGCTGGTGGACAAGCCAGCAGTTGCAGAAGAGCAACGCACACAGCCCCACAAAGCAGACAGAGGAGACTTTGAACCACAGAAAAAGCAAACAGAAGGGTGAGCTCCATGTGACAGCAAACACAACTATATTGTTCCTTCAGTTTTTCATATTTTTGTCATGTTTGCCTCAAACAAACAATTTGAAAAAAAAAACATAATGAGAAAAAAAAATCTTCTCCATTTTCTGTGTGTTTGGATATGAATGAATTTCCAGTTTGGGCAATCTTGCTCACGCCACAGTGGCAGGTCTTCCCTCTGACACTAAAAAGCCAGAAGTGGTTCCTGAAATCCCCAAACCTGCTCAGGTTCTTCCACCACACACAACCCCGAGCCAGGGCTTTGCTCAAGAGGTGGGTGTATTTCTGTCTTTGTTATCAGCATGGAAAGGAAAGCAGTATCATGCTTTTGAGTTCATATATACATATTCAGATCATTCTGGAGGGCTCCATTAAGCCTGTGTGTTTTCATTAACTCACATTAGACAATATCCTCCCAGCGATTCCATGTGTCCTCAGATATTCGATGGGGATAATTAGATAAATGGATGCTGCAGGGATTCAACTTATCATGTGGGTTTCTAAACAGCCCCTCGTGTCTCTTTCTGCACAGCAGGATTTTCCTTCTTCCTCCTGTTATTCTACTAGAATGGCCCCCTCTGCTGTTTTGGTTTATCTTGTTTGTACCTGTGTTGTACCAGCTTCAAGGAAGAAGAAGGACATCTAGAGGCTTGAAACAAAATGAGCATGTTGCAAACGCAACTTATAATGTAGGATACTCTTAATGATGGATCCTTTGCTAATTTGAACAAGAAAAACAGGTTTTCATTAAGTAGTTAACCATCAATCAGAGATTTGTTTATCTCTAAAGATTGAAAGTGACAAAAGAATGTCAGATTAACAGCTAGTAAGCAAGAAATTCCTGTTTTCCAGTCTTCCGTGTGAAGGACAGAAATGATCTGGATCACACTGAAATGTATACACTGACTTAATAAATCCAACGAACGTATGCTCTGTTCTGTGGTACTTTCTGTATAACACTTGCAGTCTTCATGCTGTAGGGGCTCCTGAGGATTCACCTGCTGGAGGCCCAGAATCTGGTTGCAAAGGATAACCTGATGGGGGGGATGGTGAAGGGCAAGAGCGATCCCTATGTCAAGATCAACGTAGGCGAGGTTACATTCAAGAG